TAGTAACCGGGTTCTAAGGAGTCTCAATATCACTGATCTTTCTTTATCAGTATTATCTCAGCTTAGCAATCTTTTCTTGCGGCTGAAACATCCCGAAAGACCGATCTTAATGAATGTAGTACCGAGTATCAACCAATTCCCAACTTTACACCGAGACCGGCTATCTCACTACTTTCTAATGGCCAAGTTTGTTCAACTAAGGTTCTAAGGTTCGTTAGTGCTTCATGACACCATGCGGAGGCCCCGTATTCTCCTCGATTCGACACAAGGGATACCGATACCAACCAAAATGTCACACCAACACAGCTATCGCTTCAACCATATCGGTCTACACCGTACAGTCTCCACGATCTATTGTTGTTTACCTAAAAAGTGTCCCCAGATCCGGGTATAGGATCTATACAAAATTACCCCAACAAACCCTCAAAGATAAAGCAGTCAAGACAAACAAAGAAAATAATTTTAAAATGATCTAGACCCTAAGGTAAACCCCACTTTATAATTTATTTCCTCAGCAGAGTCACCAGTTTTGTGATACGGTGGCAGAACCGACTGTTATACTAGTTTTGCGTTTTGTGTTCGCATATGTGAGGTAAGCAAGAGTCGCCACCGACTTTTATTTTATCCAACAAAGGAAAGGGTGAAAAGAACAGAAAAAGACCTTTTTCGAGATTTTCTGAGTAAGGGGGTAGATTATGAAAAGGGAAGGTGTTAGCACCCTTTCCATCTGTGGTTTTCCACGGACTCTTAGGTACTTGCTCATTTTTGAAAATTGCTTTCGTGTTTGTGTTCTTTGAAAAGTTTGTTTGCTTTAGGATAACTCTTGTATCAGTCCTCAAGAGTGTGATAAAGCGTTTTTTGAAAAGAGTTTTAAAAGTGTGGTGTGAAAATGGATTAAATTTGAGCAAGTACTTAAGAACTATCTACCTACTCGAAAAAGGGCATTATTTTCCTCCTTTCCTTTAGATAGTGCTATCCTACTATTATTAAGTAGGTAGCCCTATCGTTGGATGTTTGGGGACTATCGTAAGGGACGTTTATGGTCATTGAAGGCAACATGTAGAGATACCTTAGCATTTCGAAGGGACTGTCATCATATATTCGTAGGCAACTCGAAGGACAAGATCATTTCTTGTAGGCAACTCGAGGGACATTTAGGGACTATGATCTTTATGATGAATTTAAACTGAGGGTCTTTGCTAAGAGTATCCCTACGTTCGAGGGACATGACCATTTCCGAAGGCAACCAAAGTGGGAAATACCCTAAGGGGTGCAAGTGTGCAATAGTGTGTTTTTTCAGGTATTTTTATCTTGATGTTAGTGATCTAAGACCGATTATTTAGTTCTTTCCATACACGCCTAGTTTACTAGCAGTTTATATACATGCATATAATATAGTGCGAAAAGTAAAACCTGCGGCTATTACAAAGCTTCGGGGAAATTACAATTATATCTGACTGAAAATGTAAAATGTTGAAATTAAAACCCTAATTAGACTATTACAAACCGGGCACAGTTACATAATTAAAAAATGCTAAAGTAAATAAACGCGCGCATGAATTGAAAATACGTCTAAAATCCTAAGTGAAAGAAATTCTTTTTGTTTGTTTTTGTTATGAAAAGAAATTGAATTAAAAATCCTAAGTCTATTAAATTTTAGTTTTTTTTAAGAAAATATTAAAAGAATTAATTAACTAATTGACAAAATTAATTTAATATAAAAATCTAAGCCTAATGTTTTTGTGGTTTTTTAATGTTAATTAAAGCTTAAAAGAAGTAAGGACAAACAACCAAAAGAAAGGACAAAATCGAAAGACAAAAAAAGTAAATGAAGAGAGTGCATTCTTGGAAGTAAGGCCTGGATCGAAGAGGCTTAGGTTGCCTTTCGATCCAGAGGCCTGATCGAAGACCTCGTTCGAGGGTCTTGGGGGTGCTAGATCTGCAAGAAAATTTGTTAGAAATTGAAAATGCAAGGCCTGGGATTCAAACCCTGGTCCCTTCGATTGCACGAATCCCCTTTCACCGCCTGAGCTGCTTGCTCATTTAAAATACATGACACATGCTTTTGGTCCTGCAAATTAGTTAATTCGAAACTAAACAAAACAGAAAACATCCCATTCAAAATCAATCCCTGAACCCGGATCTGGGTTTGTTTCGGTTTTCCATAGCCAGTATCATGGGTTTCAAAGGTAACAAGCTTCGAAAAAACTCTATCCATGGTGTTCGAACGTATGAACATTGCAACTTGCATACATTTTGTTAAATCTCTCACAAATAACAACAAAAACTATGAACATGCAATCATGAGTCCTATTTAAGATTAAGTGGGATTGGAGATTTTTTACCATTGGAGGCGCCTGGGTCTGCAGTCCTGAGTGTGAGATGGCTGGGGCACGAGCGAGTGTACGTCTGTGTGAACTCTAATAACATGATCAGAGTGTTAATCTGGACAGAAGGTGCCTGCAATGGTATGGAGTTTTGACAACTTTGGGATTTGATGCTACTTTCCGGACCTTTGTGGGGCAGGCTGCGTTTTTTGCGAGGAAATATATGTGTGTCCTTTTTCTCTGAGATCATGAGGTTTACATAGACAAGGGATTTTAGGTCAACATTTGTGTACCAGATCTTGGTCCATTATGATGAAGAGATTTGATTTGATTTCTTCATGAAAACTTGCTATATTTGATTCAATCAGGTGCCAATCTATTTTCATGCGTTACTGCCATCTTGTTATGAGTTGTTTGGGCCTCCAATATGATGGAAATCGAAAGCTGACATGCCCCTACAGATCCATTTCCCTTTGAATTTGTTCTCTTTGAAGGTTGTAAACTCTAATTCGAATTGCACCAGCTTCGATGTCATGGCTCCTTCGATTAAGCTACCCTCTGCTTCGATTGCTTGATTTGAAGAGAATCACCCTTGTCGAATCAGCTCTTAGGAACAAATAAGGCAAGAATCTGGCCTTTAACTCAGGAATTGAATCCACGATCAACATTGAATTCTTGCCATATTTGCAAGGAAAACATGTCATTTTGAACTTTGGGTGAACTTGGACAGGTTAGGATAGGTGTTTTGTTTGAATTTGGCATAAGGCTTCCATCATGGTTCCTTCGATTAAGTCTCAAGTTTTGCTCTCTTCGATGGCTTTGAACTTGTTCCAATCTAAGAGTTATCTTATTGACTTATCAAAGTGTTGTTCTACACTCCTTGATGGCTCTAAGTCCTGATTCGAATTGCCCAGAACTTCCCTCATCAGAACATTTGTTTTCCTTCAAGTTCTCTGAATTCGAATTGCACTAACTTTGTTATCACGACTCCTTCAATTAAATCTTAAGCCTTGCTCCCTTTGATGGCTATGCATCTTGATTCGAATTGCTCATATTCTCAGTATCATAGCTTCTACGTTTGAACCACAGTGCGCAGAAAGGCTCAAAGTTATCCTCTCCAATCTGCATGAATTCGAATGCCCATCATCAGATCTTCTGGAACCCTCTTAGTTCTTTCTCTTTTTGATCTCATTTTCTCTAACTTAGACAATCAGAATATCGCCCTGTTGATATGCCAATCGAAACATCACTTGGTTAACATGCCTGTCGAAAGGCACTTTGTACGCTCTAACAAAACATAACCTTATTTAAGATGCTCGTCGAAGATGCCTTGTTAGAAATGCCCATAGAAAGGCCATATGCCAATCGAAGGACCTTTTGCAGATGCCAATCGAAGGACCTTTTGTAGATGTCAATCGAAGGATACTTAACCATCATTTGAAAATTTTCCTTTTCTTTAGATAAAGGTTTGTAACCACCTATGCAAGAGGAATTCTTGGAAAAACATGAGAGAGCAAATTTTGGGGTACAACAAAGCATCAGAAGCTCAGATGGTTTTTTATATGGATGATGAGAGTGAACAAGGATGGAGCATACCTGTTCATTTGAATCTAAGAGACTTGTATGACATGAGCGGAAATGATGAAATTATGACACCCATTGAGCCATATCCATCACAAAATTTTGAATTTTTTTTTTGAATGATGATCTCGGAACTTCAGCGACAAATGATGACAATAATTAAGATATAGTTTTTTATTGATAAGAAGTCTAGTTTGTTTATAACTTGTGTGAGACTTATGTTTTTGTTGCTTATCCTTAATTAATGTATTAGATGACATTGTTACTCTATGTTTTTTGTTGCTTATCCCTAATTAATGTATTAGATGACATTGTTACTCTATGTTTTTCTGTTGCTTATCCCTAATTAATGTATTATATGACATTGTTACTCTATGTTTTATTGCATAATTTGTCTTTTATTTTGTGTTTTAATACTTATATTTGCAGTTGAAGCCTGTTGTTAGACAATGACTACACCATATGAGAATATGCGCCTCAAAAGAATGGCAGAGAATAAGAAAAAGCTAGAGGCTCTCAATCTTCCTACACTATCTCAATCCCTTAACAAATCATCTGAGTCTTATTCCAAACCATCACCGGTTAGTAATAAATTCTCAATACTACTCCATACAAATTAATTCTATTGATTGTTGACTGATATTCATTGATGTATTTTATTTAGTCTGTGAAGGGTCGTCCAAAGTTTGTACAACCCGGAGAGCTTGAAGTAAACAAAAAGTGCCTATGTTCAACTACAACTCGCAAATTATCAATAACACCTCCCCCGATCAAAACTATAATAACTTCTCCACCAATCCAAACTACAATAACCCCTCCCCCGATCAAAACTACAATAACCCCTCCACCAATCCAAATTGAAAAAGATGTTATGGTAGAATATGGGGATGAAGATGTTGTGAAGGAGATGAGACTGAAGATGATGTGGCAGGAGATGAGGCCGAAGATGTTGTGGTAGGAGATGAGGCTGAAGATGTTGTGGTAGATGGGATTAAAGATGTTGTTAAAGTGGATAAATCTATGTATTGGGATGTAAATAATTTAAATTTTTTACATAGTTGAGTTATGACATTAATTTGTTTACTTTTTTATATGATAGATGAGGAGGGTAATGTTTCAAACACACGTTTATGTGTGAAATACTTGGTTGCAAAATCAGAGCCGGGTGGAACATGGATAATAATTGACTTAAATAAGGATCATTGTGCAATAGGACAAGCTTCTAGTTTGTTAGCGGGGTATTTGGGTGTAATTATTAGAATGTTTAAAGACTTTCCCATAATATACGAGAGTTGGAAGGATATTCCAGCGGATACAAAAACAAAGTTTTATGAATAAAAGATAAAGGTATCATTAATAAACAATTACATATTTTTTAAATTAATTTCATGGTGATTATTATTTGTTTTGTCAACAAATTTTTATTTTTATGTTTAGCTCCATTTTCTTGTTGATGATGGGCGTGACAAAGAATTCATATTTGTTTCTGCCTCAAAGAAATTGAGGGATGCCCGATCTCAATTGTTTCGCCAATATTATAGATGGGATCTCACTTTGGAGGAAAATCTTCAAAATTTTCCAAAAGACATAGGCATTTTGGAAAACGATTGGGTTGTTTTTGTTCATTATAGGCGGAAAGAAAAAACACAGGTAATATTATTGTTTTTATTTGTTAGATTTCTCTGGTTAGTATGTTATCCCTATCTATAAAAGTGTTTTTATTTGTTACCAATGTAGAAATTAGCCCAAAAAAATGCTGAAAATAGAGCAAAATTGAAGGCTCCACATACACTCGGATCTAAGTCGCTTGCAAGGAAGAAACATGAGTTGGTATGTCTAAATATATATAATGTTGATTGTATGCATGATAGTACAAATGATTAATATTTGTTCTTATTTGTAGGAATCGAGAGATGGACGAACATACAGTAGAGGAGAAATGTATGCAATTTCTCATAAAAAGTCTGATGGGTCTTTTGTCAATGAAGATGCATACAACAATAACGTAAGTACAAGTTAATTATTTTGAAATATTTTTTAGCCTCCTTAAGGTTTGATAAAAACTCAAACCTTTTAGCATCTCTTAGAGGTGGGGAGAATTTGTCTGAAAACTGGTTACTAAGTTGTAGTTCTTTTATGGTTCTACTAAGTTACCGTTTTGTTATAGTTTTACTAAGTTATAATTAATTAGTCTTACACTTTGTCTCATGAAATTTCAACTTGTATTTTTGAGAACCTATAATTAGCAGATTCAAAGACAAGTATCATGTTATTATGCATGCAATTCACTTAGACTAAAATTCTAAGGTGCTTGCGGACCATATAAACCAAAGATACTGTTTTCGTTCCACTCATGTATTAGTGAGCTTTAAAATCCATTTAAACCTTGGGTTACAATATGCTTTAACATGAAAATAATAATCACACAAAGTTATGAATCTGCTAATTATTCAGGACATAATCTAAAATTGGTGTAAGACAAGTTGAAATACACATCAATATTACAAATAGGCTAGGATAGATAATGTATATACTGTTTGAAGTTGTAGTTGTTTGAAAACAAGTTAAATGATAAAGCTCATAAGAAATTGTGACGATTATATTACACCCTACACTATATTGCATAACACATTCATAGTTAAATGCAGCCACTAATTTGACATGTAACCATTTTCCACTTTCTATGGATTTTATAGCATTTGGATTATTATTTGATTATGTAATTTTAAAGTGTAGAATTTTATTATTGTTACAGTATAAATATGAAAAATATGAAAAATAATACAGCAACAAAAGTAACAAAAGTAACAAAAGTAATATTATTGGATTATATGAATCTTACAGTAACAAAAGTAACCAAATTTTATTATTGGATTAAATGGATCTTACGGTAACAAAAGTAATATGAACAATATATGTTAGCTACTGCATTCTTACTATATTTTATAGCTATTGCATTCTTGAGCGCTGCCCCATATAAATTAGTAGTAAATAAGTAGTATATTTTATAGCTATTGCGTTCTTGAGCGCTGTCCCATATAAATTAGTAGTAAATAAGTAGTATATTTTATAGCTAAGCATGTCCCTTTGCTCTTTTTCATGTGCAGGAAAATTACAAGCTGCAATTAAGGATTTTGTTTCTGAAAATGAGGTATTTCAGAAAGTATTTGGAAAAGAACAACATGGATATGTTCGTAGTGTGGGACTAGGAGCCACACCATCTCAGATTAATAGATCTACGAGATTGGCATCTTCTTCTGCAGAAAATGAAAAAATAAAGGAAACGCAAGAAGAAATTAATGCACTTAAAGAAAAGAATTCAAAAATTGACGAATTCATGGAGGCAGTCAAATTCTTAACGCAAAGGGATAATGCTAGGACAAAGGAAATTGAACTCTTATTGCAAATGCAAAATTCTAGTGAAAAACAGGTATATTATTTTGATTCATTTAAAGTTGAAGTTTATGAGTATTATTTTAAAGAGTATTATTTTAATACTTTTTTTTAGGGATTGGAATCACCCGCTGATGGTAGACGTTCATCTGAGTCTAGCTACCGAATTTAGATAATGGATCATCAAGAAGGACAAATTAGAATTTGCTATGAATTAATTAGATTATAAACTTTCTTATGTATTTTTGGCATAATGATACTTATTATTATAAGATTAGAATTTGATATGTTTTCAGTTTTTTGTACTACATTACATGATTATGGTACTCACATTTTATATGATTATGGAACTTGCATTTTTTTGATATTATGATACTTATTTGATATTAAATGTTTTTTATTGAAATTAATTTTATTACATTACAAAGTGATTGAAAATAATACTATATATAAAAATGTTATAGTAGAAATAATTTAAAGAAAAAAATATTAAAAATTATAATACTATAAAAATACTGTCACGACGGTATTGAATCGTCGCAATCAATAATTACAAAAAAACTCAAAAGAGTGTCACGACGGTACCGAACCATCGCCATTAACAATTAAAAAAAACCCAAAAGATAGTCACGAGGGTAACGAACCGTTGCCATTAACAATTTAAAAACTCAAAAGATAGTCATGACGGTATACAACCCGTCATGAACTTGAGCGACGATTGGTGTGGTGGTTTGTGCAACTGTCGCGAAACAGGCTGGGGACACACATTTCTGCGACTGCGAAGCAACTGTTGTGGATAGCAAATTTTGGCGGTTTTAACCGTCATAATCTGCCAAAATAACTGTCACAATCTGCCAATTTTTTTGTAGTAATGGTTCGACACAAAGCCTTAGGCTTCAACACATACTGTTTTACAGGCCCAAACAGAAGGAAGAAAAAAGGATATGTGAATCGAAGGGTGCATGCTTCGAATATACTGCATGAATCGAAAGATTTGTTTTTTCTCTGTGAATCGAAGGGTGCATACTTCGAACATACTGCATGAATCGAAAGATTTGTTTTTTTCTCTCTTTTGCGTTATTCTTGTTTTTTTTAAATATATTTTCTATATATTTTCTTTCATTGCTATTCAATATAGTTATAATAATTAGGACTTTTATTTCTTTCCACCCCCCATTTGTAAATTTGTATACCCCATCCCCAAATTATGTAATAGCATAGGACATTTATTTTCCGTAATTTATCGCTTTAATATAAACTGTTAGTGATTATGGTGTGTATAACAAGATAAAATCAACCGTTAGAAAAATCTAATTTCAAAGATTAAACCAAGCATGAAATACAATACACTTGCACACTTTGCACCTCTAGGGATAACTCTACTTGTTGCCTTGAGAAAAATAGTCATAATGTGCATGTGAGCCATCTTAGCAAAAATAATCAAAATACAAGATCATAGTCCCTTAATGACGCTTCAAATGTTCCCTTATAAATGATCTTAGTCCCTTACAAAAAATGCTAAGATATCTCACAATATTGCCATTCATGATTATACGATGACCTGCGCCTGTCCCTTCACATCTAATGATGGGTCTTCTTACCAATCAATGGTAAGATAGAAACATCTAGAGGAGGAGGAAAAGAACATAGACCTTTTGAGTAGGTAGGCCGCTCGTAGTTGCTTGATCACAAACTAAAACCATTTCCACACTTACACTTTAAAAAACATCTTCAAAAACAAACATCTCTTTGAACTATTTTCAAAACCAACACTTTGTATAAATTCTTATAAAGACGAGAATCATTACAAAGTTTGCCGCAACAAAGGCGTTTTCAAAATATTTTCAAACTTACACCAATCACAAAACACATTTTCAAACAAAGCAACTTTCAAGTGATCTAGCAAGCAACTAAGAGCCCGTAGATAACTACGAATGAAAAGGGTGCTAATACCTTCCCTTTTCATAACTTACTCCCCGAACTCAAGAAAATATCTCAAAAGTCTTTCCTGTTCTTTTCACCCTTTCCTTTATTAAATAAAAGAAAAGTCGGTGGCGACTCTTGTTATCCGCAACAATTGCGATAAAACGCGAAACACCCAAGTCAGTTCTCCCACCGTATCACAATATGCTATTCTAATACGAATTCGGTTGTAACCTAATATGAGTATAAATGTTTAAATTAATTCCTGAATATGAGAAGAATTTGAGAATATAAACCTATATAACAAGTAAACACGAGGGAGCCTATTAATTAGAGTCACCCTAACAAGTCAGTTATTATTGGTTCCTGATAATGTGGTCACCATAATAAAATTGGATACATATTTTATTTTGGTAAGGTTGGAGATTGATTAACTCTGTAAGTGATGCTCCACTTACCATGAATTATCCGTCCCGTCGTATAAACAGAGAATCTACATAACTATGCTAAATCCTATTATTCTCATTTATGCATACTTGCTACACAAGAAAGATACTTAGCGTCACAATTATTTCCTCCTAATACATTATAGAAGCCATGAAGTTCATTTTCATTTAATGTTTGCTACAAGGTCTTATGTTTTACACTTATTAGGTATTACTATTCTTATTTCTAAAAATATTTACCTCTTGATCCTTAACAATTCTTAACTTCACTCTTACCTCTAAATCAATTTGAGTGACGATTGAGCCTAAGATCATTAAATTAGAATTATGGATCATTATATTAGAATTATGGATCATTACCTATCTTAATATAGTGTTTTATGGATTAGATTACGTTTTTTGAAAAAATTCTTGATCCATGACTTGAGTCAGGGAATCCTGTGAATTGAGTCACAAATCCTGTATCATAATTTTGACAACATTTAACATCATGACTCGAGTCATGCAATTCCTTGACTCAAGTAACAAATATGTAATTCATAAAACACTAATTGTACACTATCAAGCCATCAACAAACATTGCCTAACCTCCATAGATCATTCATACATGTTATGGAATAATTAGTATACATAAAATCACAATAATTTCCAGCAAATCAAACTCATGAAACTTCATCTATTTCAGACATTCTCATGTAACTTTCAACATTTCAATTTGATAATTATAACACATAAACTAGTGATTCCTCATTATTTTAACATTAATCCTAACTAACTTCTAATAACCTAACTAAGATCAAACCCAAGAAAACCCATTTAATGAAAAAGAAGAAGAAGAAGATGATCACTATTGATAGATTGTTGAATGCTCCCTTCTCCTCTCCAATGTTCTTTTTGAACTTCTTGCCACCCCCTCTAATCTTCCTTAGTTATTAAAATTCATTGCCTTCAATATTTACTTCAAATTCCAACCATTTTTCTCTTCCAAAAGTTATGTTTGCTTCCTCTAATTGATGAAGAAGGTAAGGGATGGATATTGAATGCAAGTGAAGGGAAATTGCATATTGGTTCACTTCTACTTTTTCTCTCCATTTCAATGGGATATTTCTTCTGAGCTTTGACTACTTTGCCTATCAAGACCAACTTATCATTCATTAAAATGCAAGGTTACATAAATTTCCCTACCACTTTGTCGCTATCAAATAGCTCTTGCCATAACTCCAATGAATCTTGATTTATTTTGAGACATCACATAATATTATGAAGTGACTAAAATTCCCTTTAGTAGATGTGTTGATTCTCATATTTTCCCTTACTTGATGTTACGCTTTCTAATTGTCCTTACTAATATACTTACCTTTTTGTGAAAGTGTTATTATTTCATAAACTTCCATAAATCTTAAATTGAATCAAACTCAAAATAATTATTGTAAATTGACCAAATTATCCTTATGGAAAATGCATATTTTCCCGTTTAATCTCATAATTCTATAATCCTCTGTACAACAACGATTCTCAAACACACTAACACCCTCTATACATCGCAAATTAGTCCCTGATTAACTATATAACACACTACCTTTATTAATTAAAAGTGGAAATATGTGGGATTTTACACCATTCACAATTAGAAAGCAAATATTGGAAAAAAATCTTTGTGACATTAAACAACGAGTGACAAGAAGTCAAACCAATGACATTAAACAAGAGCTGGATGGGACGTAACCCATTGAAATCAAGCTTTTTGTTTCATTTTCTTATTGTTTATTTAAGATTTACATTTTTTTTAAATATTGTCTTTATCCATCGCTTATTTCAGTTTTCCATCTTGATAACAACACCAAGAGTAGTAATAATTTACTAATTAATAAAATTGTTTGAATTTTGAGATTTGATGTTTCTAATTTTTTTTTGCTAATCTTTACACCACCAATGATAAATAAGAGTTTAAGTGTAAAAGAAATCATGCACTAAATTGTTGGTGCATAAAGGAGAGATGAAAGACAAAAGAAATATATTGAATGACGACTACAAAATAAGGAGTAATAAATTACATTGACCTACCTACTATTAGGCTATTTATACACAAAATTAAGGTATAATAAAATACTAAAATATCCTCTAACAGACTTAGTCAATAAGACATTCCTAAAATATAAATTATTTTCAACACCATCCCTTAATTTATATTTACACAAAACTAACAACACCAATTCCATCTCTCAAACGAATAAATTAATCAGTCTTGATAGCCTTTGTTAGAACGTCCTCCAACTGCTTCTGGGTGCTACAGTGTACAACTTCTAATATTCCACTATGAACCTGATTCCTCAGAAAGTGATACTTGGTCTCAATATGCTTGCTTCTCCCATGCAACACTGGGTTCTTAGCAAGATTGATTGCAGACTTGTTATCAATCATCAGCTTCAGAGGTTTATTTACCTCAATCTTTAGATCTTGCAGCAAGTTTAAAATCCACAAAGCTTGGCATGCAGTCAGAGCGCCTGCAATATATTCGGCTTCACAGGTTGACAGTGCAACAACAAGTTGCTTCTTGGAACACCAAGAAATAGGACCTCCCAGAAATTTGAATAAGTACCCAGAAGTACTTCTTCTGTCAACTCTGAGTCCATACCAATCAGAGTCTGAATAACTCAAGTTCTGATTCGGTCTTTCTTCCAGAATAAAATAACATTCTATACTTCAGAGTTCCCTTCACATACCTCAGAATCCTGACAATAGCTTGGTAATGAGACCAATTTGGTTTACTCATAAATCTGCTAATCATTCCAACTTCATAGCA